CCAATGTGGCTTCAAACCTACAATCATCCTGTATCAACCCCCCGACAGCTAGGGTGACAGACACACCATGCCGTGTCGTTTTAATGGTAATCACTTAAATGTTGCTTTTAAATACGTATTTCTTGAATATCTGAACAACAGAACAAACCTAATCTTTACCTGGAACACTCTTAACTGTGTGACTATGATGTGGGGACTGAGAATCTAAATAGTCATACACAAGCCTTTCCGGTGGTGGTGAGAACACGCTTCCGCAAACGAGCTCCTCCAGCCCACCCCAGAAGAAAGGGGAAACCCAAGTCAAAGCACCCAGTGCAGAGCCCTGAGTCCCACTTCAAGGATGTGAAAAGCCCAGGGTGCTACGTCATCGCCACGGTCTTCGGCCAAGCACAAACAGCCAGCCTTATGTGCTAGCTGCACCAAGAGGCAAAGGGGCTCCTTTGGGAGCAGTGCCAGGCACCCTGAACTGGGATGAGTGGGAAACGATCCTCAAAAATGCATTTTGGATACAAAACAGAGACACAAACCTAAGTGTAGCTTCCATAATCCAACTATGCCGTACATGGATACACAACGCCTTTTATATCTATTTAGTTTAGACAAAAACATAACTCCCTTTGATGAACAGAGCACAGGTGTTCAAGCTAAAGTAATATCAGTGTGAAAATACACACCCACAGAGCCCGGCGTCATGAACGATCTGGTCACTAGTTGCCTTTATCTGCTGTGGACATGTTTTGTTTTGTTTTTTAATTATTTTTATTTTATGTGTATAAGTATACTGCCTGTATGTGTGCAAGCACACCCATGTCGTACAATGCCCATGGAGGTCAGAAGAGGGTGTTGGATCCCCTGGAACTGGAGTTATAGATGGTTGCTAGCTGCCATGTGGGTGCTGGGAATTGAACCTGGGTCCTCTGCAAGAGCAGCCAGTGCTCTTAACCACTGAGCATCTCTCCAGCCCTGTGGACATGTTTTTGGGAACACAGGTCACAGCATGAGTCTCCCCTTTCCCTCACAGTCACACACAGCACAATCTGCTGGACCAGAACTTCTAATCTGACACAGACCTGAGAAAGGAGCCCCCAAAACTGGGTATCACACATTTAGTGGGTTCACAGACGCCAACTCTGCTTCCGTCTCAATCGAAACCAAATTCTAAATCTTCCCATCTGAGGAAAGGAGACCAAAGGTTTAAACACACACAGTAGCAGTGAGGCTCTGAGGATCAGAGTCGCCATTCTCTCTGAAGTGGTTACAAGTCCTCTCAGAACAGTAGATCATTGGCTCATTAGATCCTAATCACACAACCACGCTTCACATACGCCAGAACTCTGACAGATGGAAGAGGATACCGACCACGGCCAGCAGGAAGGACAGCCATGTGGTCTACAGTCAGTCACTCACAGAAATCCCCACAAATACCCTGATCCAAAAGGGCACTGTCACCAAAATACCCAGCAAGAGTTAAGATGCAGCATGTTAAATTACATTGTGCAAAATGACCCAGCTTCCCTTCTGAACTCACAGGCCTATGAGCAACATACCATGGACACAGGGCCAGGCATTCACCCATGTCTTTCCTGTGCTGCTTAGGGTAAGGGTTAGAGCTCCCCATGTATTATCTCATATTGTTAAAAAAAAGGTGAAATTCCTATGGAGGGTTAGATATGGAATCAAGTAGTGACATTAGTAACAGGAACGAGGAAATTCTACACCAGTGACTACGACGCAGAGCTCATTCATAAGGCACATTGCTAACACTGCTTAGTGAATATCCACGGCCCATTCACCCGGTCCCTCAAAGATGGGCATGGCAGTCTCCTTACAGACAAGAAAGCTGAGTGATCACAGGACAAGAAGGAGGTAGAGCTGCGCTCACTCAAGCTACAGAACACTAAAGCAAAGTCTTACATCCCATCAGTTTAGAAAACTACATCTCCCTAGTTCAGTAATTTTATTAAGCTCATTCTTGACCCAAGAGTCATACTCTGGGGACTGTTTTTCAAAGCTTCCTTAAAACAAAAATTTGACCTCACGATTTGCTCAGAATATACTCTTAAAGCTCATTCTGAGCTCCAACCTGCTCAGTCAGATCAATTTTCACCTACTGGTCTCCCTAGACTCACCAAGTCTCACACGTTGAGTCCTCTGGGCTGTCACGGTCCCAGGCTCTTGATCTGGTTTGCAAAGTGTTGTGACAGTTTCTAGGGCGGCCCAGGCACATCTCTCTAGAATCTCTTTTCTCCTCTGTAATCCCTTTCTATGTCACACAACCAAAACCCTTCTGAACCAAGGGAACAACCTTACCACATCACAAGCATACCAGAGAGCTACCTGGCCACACCCAGAGAACCTGCAAAAACATCGCCTGTCCCAGATGCGTGTGGTGCTCACAGCACAGAGAAGCAGACGTATCACCCGGCTACCCACAACCAGCATTTCTGCTTTCAGACACCTGATGCAGAGCCCAAATCACCAGACAAAACACAACCAGTGCAAAGAGATAGTCACAAAAATGCACAAGGTCAAAACTGAACACTGGGGCTGGAGAGAGGGCTCAACAGTTAAGAGTATTCACAGCTCTTACAGAGGACTTGTAACTAGGTCCCAGCACCCACACTAGGCAGCTCACAACCACCTGAAACTCTAGTTCTAGGGAATCCGACACCCCCTCTGGCCTCCAAGGGCACCCACACAAAGGTGCACAGATACACATAATTAAAACACACATACACATGCACACATAATTAAAAATTAAAAAATCTCAAACTGAAATTCTGTCATCTGGACACATAGCAGGCTCAGGATTCCACTGGGAGTGTACGAGCAATGCTCTCTAAACTTGTCAACGGCAGCTGGACACAACAGTGATGATCAGCCATAGCATTTCAGACCCTTTTCTTGTGCCCTGATATCAACTATTAACCTTAGAGCCTTTGACATACAAAATATTTTCCTTCTATTTAAAATAATGAGAAATTTTTTAAATAATGAGAATTTT